GAAAGACTTGGAACCTATAATTTCAGAGGTTCCTCCTGGTTCAGAAATCCTCTTAATCTATGAATCATATGCAAACAGGACTAGGAGTATTTAAACAGCTACTGGACAGAAAGAGCTAAGGTGCTTTTGGTTATACCCACAGAAGTAGATTTTTAATTTGGGGGGATGACGGGAGCTAGTGGTGGCCTTTACATTATAAAGAAAATGAGTACAGATGACAGCAAAGTTATTTGTTGAAGAAAAATGGGGAATCAAACATAGATGTGAGTAAGGATTTGCATTTTTAAAATAGCCTTTTATTGCATCAGAGTTTTGCTATAACTCTTTTAGAGAAAAGACCCATGAAGAAGCTCTTAAAGATCTCATTTTGAAAATATTCTACTAGGTCAATGCATCTGTGAAATTTGGTTCATTCTTGGAAAGTGATTCCTGGGAAATCAATATAGTTTATCTCAAGCTGTGTGTCCCATTGGAAGTGAATATGAGAGAAGCCTTTCGGTTTCTGATTATATTTATGTATATTTTAATTCAAACACCTTTCTTCAGACCCCAGTTTCTTCACCCCTTCTTCTTTTCTACATTAAACACTGATGAATATTCACAAACACTTTTGGAGGAACAGAGCGATGGATTCAGCATTGTGCAGACACACTGTTAGAAGTCTGAGATGCACGTGGAGCCTGAAATTGAAGGAGAGCACAGGTTTGCTTATTGAAGGCTTCAGGAGCATTGGGGGAGATAACGTTTTCTTTCCTTGCTCTCCAGCCACGTGCTTGGGGTAGTACTGACCCAGACTCCACAATACTGCAGACCTGCAGAGGAGAGAATGGAGGCGCAATGTCATCTTTATGCATGCACGTGTCTTCACCCATTTTATTCCCCCTCCACTTCACCTTCTCCTGTTCATCTGGCCAGTTGTAAACCTTTAATGTGAACGAGCTGTCTATGACACCAATTTGTGGGCAAATTTTGTGGCGAGAAAAAAGATCCAGGAAATAAAATCATCAAAATAGTTTCTCTCAATAGTCGCAGATATTACCAGGCAATTCATACACTGCTTCCCATTCTCATTTTGGGCTTTATACTTAAAAGGGATTTTCCCATCTATTCTTATTCCATCTTTAAAATGACTCTATGGCTGGATATGGTGAAAATGACTCTTTATTTTGCAGACAGTGCAAATAAAGCTTAGTGTACCTGAATGTATTATCTGGAGTCATCCAATCAAGAGAAGAAGCAAATCTAGGAAAAAGGAATCTCCCAACTCTAACCCTCAATATGCTTTCCACTAATGCAGCCCATCCCAAATCACAAAACAAAACAAACAAGTTTTATTGTTCTCATTTACGCTAAATCATTCTTCCTTTGCTTTAAGAATCTGATGCATATTTAAAATAATACAGACGTGAATTTAGAACGGTTTTATCATCAAACCCTTAACCTGTTTATGACTGAGTTTGCAATTTTTTGAATTTTTGCAATCAGACCTTGGCGATAACCTTGAGCAGTAGGATATAGATAACTCTCACATGCTTAGTGTTCCAATAATGGAACATTAGGGAAAAATCAGCTTAAATTCCCATTTACTAGGCTAATTTCGTAAGAGACTTGCTGTCTCATCAATGTAGGCAAGGTCGCCAAAGTGGTTCATGTGAGATAGAGGTGACAGAGGAAAAGATTTATCTGCTCTGGGGAGCGGGGGGACTTTCTTCCTTTTAGATTTGAGATTTTCCCATTCTTATTACTTTTAGGGACAGGAGATCAAAAGTTCAGATATGTTTTCCAAAAGCCACTGTTCAAATGCATAGGGTCTACGAGGAAAGGAATGTTGAAAAATCTTCCTTGGATCTTTCCATTAGCATAGATAGTTTGTTATGAATTTACTAATTTCCAAACTGGAACCACTGTCCCTAGAAACTGAGATACAAGGCAGACATCTTTCAGAGGAGAAAACAGACAGTAGGGAATGGCAGTTATTGCCACAGGCTAATGGGCTCTGGAAGCTTAGTTCTCCTGGAGGTCAGCACCTTATAATGGAGAGGATTGCACAGGTCTGGAAGAACAAAACATATCACTTGCCTGAGAGTCTGGACTGACAGATTCCAATTTTACTGGTTTGGTGTGATCATAGTGAAAGACTCCTAAATTTCCTCATCAGTTTATTTACTTGTTTACATCTCTATATTTCTCAATGGCCTCTGAGCTCCTTGAGGTCTAGACTCTATTTTACCCAAACCTATCCTGATTGCCTCTCTGAGAATATGAACAAAATGAGACTTTATAAATATTGGTTGTACTGAATTAATTTGAAATGATTAAGTTACTTCTACTACTCCATGATCATTTTAACAATTTACATATGAATGCAAAGATTACCAAAAGAAAAGGAGAAAAATAAATTCCGGAGTTGTTTCTTGAGCAATGTATGATTGAGTTGACTTGAAACATATACAGGGGTATAGTCAATTCTGCTACAACATAATATATGCATTTGTAAAAATGGCTTGCTAATTGTACAATACAAACTTGATAAGAAAAGATTTAGGGGAGAAGTGGGGTTAGGAATACAATACTCAAAAATTTTATCAGTCACACATAAAAGATTATAAAAACCTAATAAAAGTAGTAGAAGAGTTGTATACATGCTAAATGTCTAATAAATACATAACCGTTACATACAATAGCTATAATACTTTACCTTAAAAAGAGCTACAACTTTCCTGTGGAAGTGGGTATCAGAAAAGCTGTGATTTCTTGTTAAGTGGTGGAGAGAGTGTTGCCTGAAACAGGAGGATGGTTATACCTACGCATCTGGATGGGTGAGGCTTAGAAGGCTCCTGTGAATGTAGATACCGTCTTGACGCTTAAGGCCTATGTGTGTGTTTGTGTGTGTGTGTGGTTTGTATGTTTCTATGGGGCTCGCTTTTTTTCTGCATTCATCTGAGGCTTCTTGATGACAAACCAGGCATACACATATGCAAGATCTGCATTATGTTGAATATAATTTAATAAGTGATTATTATATATTGTTTTCTAATATATAAATAATGCAACAAATGTGTGCCTTTAAACAAGTGCTTTGAGGTGTATATGCACCTTCTGTCACCTGCATCTTCTGCCAGAGGTAAAATGGTACTGATCTGCTTTCTATTTGCCAAAAGACCGTAACTGCGGAGAAACCATATCTGCGATTTTTATGTTATTCTTCTTCAGCGAGGATCTGGCTGCGTTTTGTATTTGTCAAACACCTCAAAATATTTTTCAACATATGTATTTGGGAAAAACTCAAAATACACCTTGCCAGTTGATTTTTTAACACACCTAATGAACAATAATTTAATCCTTATGTTTCTAATTAATTTTTCTGCAATTAGCTAAAATACTGCTCTCTAAGAATTTGCTGAATAAACAAGCTTAATCCTATGTAAATGTTCTTTAAAAAAAAACAAAGGAAATCAAACCAATTCATCCTGAGAGCCTTTACTACCATGACGTTTACTTTCAAACTAAATGGCACATTTTAAATTTGTTTTGCATGAGGTATGTCTAGATTTCATGAAGTTGTTGTTCAATGTCCTACAAAATTAAATGTGTACAAGACAAAAAATAGGAAAAGAATGTTGGTAATATTATGCTGATTAATTGGCTGGTTGATTGACTGCTCAATCCTGCCTTCCATTCTTTCCTTTCTTATTTCATTAGCTCACAATCCCATTCTTTCAACAAACCTTTATCAAAGGCTTGTTATGTATCAGATTCTCTGCTAGGGTCCCACAAAGTGTGTAACACCCAATGGAAAATACAAAGAGATAAGTGAATTATTACAAAAGACTTAGATGACCAATTGTCTTAGGCCACTTTGTATCGCTCTAACAGAATGCATGAGACTGAGCAATTTATAAGGGACAGAAATTTATTGGCTTACAGTTCTAAAGGCTGGGAAGTTGAATATCAAGGTTCTGGCGTCAGGTGAGAGCTCTCTGGTTGCATCGTCACATGGCAGAAGGCAAGAGAATGAGAGAGAGAACCCACTCCTGAAAGCTCTTTTATTAGGGCAATAAACCTAACCCAGTGAGGGTGGAACCCTCATGGCCTAATCATCTCTGAAAGGCCCCACCTCTTAATATTGTTACAATGACATTAGACCTCATCACGAGTTTTGGGAATGACAAAAATTCTAACCATGGCAACAATATACTAAGAGTGAAGAGCAGTTCCTCTCCATAAGATTGACTGGTCAGGACATCAGTGTCAACCCGAAGTGGTATATCTACCTTGTCAAGACAAGCATCTTTGCTCATGGCCCCATCCTCTCCCACATTTGGACATCATCAAAGAATCCTTAGAAAGAATACTTCCAATATTTAGGATAGGTTGGAAGGATAGCTGTTGAAGTAAATATCAGATTCACAATATACAAGATCGAGGACTATTCACTACTGCTTCATGGAGTAGAAATAAGTTCTTAGAATAAGTAAATTGTTTTCCGAAGACTTTCATACAACTGGGAATAAGACATTTTAAATTATCTTACTCCTGTAGACACAATTATTATGGGAGCTCTTAGGGACTGAAGATGGGAGAATAGTCAAACAATGTTTCCCCTTTTAATCATCTCCCTTCTTAGAGAATAATCTTGATAGCAACAATTTGAGGCTTTGCTCCAGTGACTTATTAAAGAAATGTAGCTAGTTGGGTTTTTGAATCAGAAAAATCTGGGTGAGAATTCTTGCTGCACTGTTTTCTAGCACTGAGACCTTAGACAATCTACTTGACATTTTTTAACTTAATTTTCCCCATCTGTGAAAGAAAACCAGACCTGTCCTTCAGGGGTGCTGTGAGGAGTAGATGCAGTAACACATGGAAACAGGGAGTACCTGACCTTGTTCAGAGCAGATGGTTAATAAATGATGGTAGTTAATTTCTCAACTTCTCTTCTCATGGAATATTTCTTGCTAATAGAATCTGGTCTTTCTCCCTCTCTCCTCCTATCATTATAGATAACTGTGATGATCCACTAGCATCCCTCCTCTCTCCAATGGCTTTTTCCAGTTCCTCAGATCTCACTGGCACTCACAGCCCAGCTCAACTCAACTGGAGAGTTGGTAAGTAGGCTGACTGAAATCCTAATGCCAAGCACTGAATAACTACACGGTGGGTAGATGGAGGAAAGTGAGCACTCTCAAACACTGAAATCATGTCCAATGGCAGTCCTCAGGAAAAGATTTAGGAGGAAAGGAATGAAAATCTAATGTAAGCATACTTCCATAGCATAATAGTCATTCAAAGTATGCTGACTCGTGTTCACCCAAACCATAATATCCTTTTTTGATTATCACAAGAGGTCTTTGTGAAAATTACTTTATAAAAAGCACTTGCTTTCAATAACTTTAATTTTCCTTGAAAATTAATACTGCTGATTTTTAAAATACAAAAATACTATTAATTAAAAGTAAGAAAAGATAAACAATCTGTTATTCTACCAGCTAGAAATAACTGTGGTTAAGTATATGGTTTGTATCTTTAAAATCTGTGGGAAGTAAGAGCAGGCCCTTAACTAATCTCTCATATGAAATGTTGTTAACAAATATGACGTTGGATATCTAGGCAGATATGTTTTAGTCAGATTTAGATGCTGACTTTTATAATGCATAGATGCATAGGTATATAAATACTGAAAAAGATTTGAATTATTTCAATTTTTAAGAACTTTTTGGATATCTGATAATATTTTAATATCTACTGAATATTATAAACTTTTTCTAGGTCACGAAAAGCATGTATGCAATTTAAAGAGAGCTACTGATCTATTAGAGTTTATATTATTTAATTTTGACTATATTTTCCGTTGATATCTTAAGTAGGTTACTTTAGTAGGTTTTTGCAACATTGAACTATCTTTGCATTCTGGAATAAGTTCTAATTGGTGGTGGTGGTTGTTTTTTTTACATGCTAAATAATTTAATTTGTTAACATTTTAATTTATAATTTAAATCTCCATTATTAGTGAGATTGATTTATAGTTTTTGCTTGTGTGTTTGTTTGTTGTTTGTCTTGTACCTCATTTCACCAGTTTTCTATTAAAATGGAATTCGTAATTTAAAAGTTAGCAAGTGTCACTGTTTTGTTGAGAAAGCTGTTTAAGAATAATATTCTAAAAACAAAAGAATGGCCAAAGATTCAACAGGAAAATTTCAATTAAAATTTTGTAATAATGTCCTTTGCTGAATATTCTGTGCCAAAAATTTGATTAGGCATTTTAGTTTTATTATGATATGTAGTCCTCACAAAGCTGTTGTAAGCATTATTACCTTTTACCTTCAGATAGGGTTCCTGAGGCATCAGTTTCCCAAGACAGCAAAACTAGAAAGGGGAAATGCTTGGATTCAAACCTAAGTTGTCCGACTTCAAAGTTCGCGTTTCTCTTAATCCCGTTAACAAATTGCTTGACTAGTACAGATTGAAAAGGGATGTAGCAGCAAGAAAAGAAAGTTAAAAACTAATCAATCGACCACAGTCCAAATGCGGGCTATGCCACTTAGAAACACTCTGACAGTATACAAATCACTTACCTCTCCCGACCTCAGTTTTTTATCTGTAAAGTGGCCCAGGAATGTCTGCCTTGCAACATTATGTGCAGATTAAGACCAGACTTGCATATCCAAAATATCTTTCTTACAGCAGGGTAGAGAACTGACATGGAGCAGGAAGCCCACTTTCCATTTCAGGAAGAAACACAGGTTGGCAGAATTTAACGCGGTTTCCAACAGAGCTTCCAGAGAAAGGATTTGTCTCAATCCCACCCAAATTGTGTGGCAGCAGAAAGCAATTATTGCCTAATAGCTCCTGGGCAGTTTCTGGGGGAAAGTATGGGTCTGATCACAGGCCACATCTCTCCCTGACACAGATATTGAGTGAGTACAAGTGTCTCTGCTCCAACTTATTATAATTGTTCTGCTCACCGGAGAATTTGAGTGCCTGAATCCAAGGCTAGCATGAGGGTACAGAAAGGTTCATTTTTCTTCGGTTTCCCAACAAGAGTCTAAATTAGGAAGGCCAAGCAGAAGACATAGTGATACAGTTGGGATGCACTGACCTAGAACTCATCCTCTAGTGCGTATTCCAAGACGCCCAAGGGGACAGCCTCTCCTTTACTCACCGAGTCCCAACCATGGCCCTCAGCAGGAATTAAACGCTGGCTCAGGGAGATATGAGATCAGTGGTTCTCATCCAAGGGCTGTGCGTTTGAATCACCTAGAGAGTTTTACAGGGAGCATTGCCTGAGCCCATTTCATCGCATATTCTGAATTAATTGTCTTGGATGGGACCCAAGCAAGGATATTGATAGTGTGAATAAATAAAAGCTTTCCAGGTGATTCTAAAATGGAGCAAGAGTTGCAAATTGCTACATTTGAGAAATTAATGAGTAAAAAATCCTTCTATTAATAATTATTGAGTGCCTAGTATTTGTCAGGCACTGTTCTAGATCCTTGACACACAGTTGGCACAAATAGGCACAAACAGTATTCATAAAGAGTTGACATGGATAATACCATTACCATACAATTGCAAACTGATCGACAGCTAACATTTGTCATTAGTAATAATATCAATATAATTATGTTGTTAAATATGTCCAGATATCTATGTATACTATAATAAACCATGTATATGTGATATGTGATATATATGTGTATATAATATATAGAGTAAAATGTATACATATACACACACATATGTAGTTGAATATATGCCGTCAAAGTCTCTCATATAGAAAGAGGTGGATATATACATGGTTGGTTATATAAATATATTCATATGTAGTAGGATGAATATATATGTTTATATAGATGGATACAGTAACATATACATGCATATACAATCATGTACAAATATATACATGTGTGGTATACAGAAATATTAAGATAAAACTTGAAAGTCATTATATTAATGCTATTAAGAACAGATTTTGTTTCATTAGTGGAAAAATATAAAATTTAGAAAGTTAAGAAGAAAACTTATAATTTTTGTTTATATTGGAAATATCAGTATAAAGTACTGATTGATTTTCTTCCTTTTAAGACCAAACTTACGTCCTGTCTATCCACTGACATGGCTTAGAAGCAATTATAACACTGCCTCAATGAACACTCCCTTTTAACGTGTCTTCCTTTAAAACTTCTCTTTTGTTTTACAAAGAAAAGATGTGAAATATATCCAAAAGAGCAAATTGTACCACATGGTTTGAAATCTCAGATGCTCTCCAATATAGGTGCAGATGTAAAGGAGCATCTCTCTTGATGGTGAGATTGCGTGCCTAAGAATTACACCCGTCCTCTTCCCCCGGTTGTAAGCTGATGCCTGGCAGCACACAACTGAAAATCATAACACCACTATATTGAGCACTTCCTATGAGTCCTCACTGTCCCGAGCCCTGAAGGTACACCAATTCTATACTCACAACTACCCTTTATGTAGATGTCATTGTGATCTCTGATTCATAGGTGACACCGAGACGAAAGCAATGGCCAGGTCAGGCTTTCCCCTAAGTGATCTGAATCCCATGGCCATGTTATTGGCCACAGCACCACAACACTGTCCTGCCCAGAAAGCCAGAATAACTTCAGTGTTTTAGACAGGGAAAGCTGTGTGTCATTTTTAATAGTTCACTTACTTCCCTCCCTCCTATGTGATCGCAGTATAATTGACAAACAAAACTGTATACATTTACAGTATACAAAGTGATGATTTGATATATGTATGCATTTTGAAATAATTACCACAATCAAATTAGTTAACACATCCATCACCTCATATAGGTATCCTTTTCCTTATTTTGTGGTGAGAACACAAGATCTACTCTTAGCAAATGTCAAGCATACAATAGAGTATTATTAACTATAGTCACTGTGCTGTACAATTATATCCAGAGAATGTACTCATTTTGCAAGCACAGGTTTGTACCTTGACCAACATTTCTCCATTTTCCTCACACTCCAGTCCCTGGCAACCACTGTTCTACTCTCTACTTTTCTGAGTTCCACTTTTTTCAGATTCCTCATATAAGTGAGATAATGCAGTATTTGTCTTTCTGTGCCTCGATCATTTCACTTCATACAATGCCCACTAGGCTCATCTATGATGTTGCAAGTGGCAGGTTTTCTTTTTTATGGATGAATAATATTCCACTGTATATATGCCACATTTTTTATCCCTTTATTGATCAGGAAACACTTAAGGTCGCTTCCGTATCTTGGCTGCTATGACTAATGCTGCAGTGAACATTGGATTGCAGATATCTCTTTCAGATACTGATTTCATTTCCTTCGGATGTATACAAAGTAGTGGTATTACTGGATTTTATAGTAGTTTCACTTTTTTTAGAAACCTCCATACCGTTTTTTATAATAACTATACTGATTTACATTCCCAACAACAGTGTAAAAGAGTTCTGTTTTCTCTACCTCCTCACCAACACTTACCTCCTTCTTTGTAAGAGCCAGCCTAATGAGTGTGAGGTGACATCTCATGGTGGTTTTGATTTCTATTTTCCTGATTGATTAGCGGTGTTCAGCATGTTTCTGTGCACCTGTTGGTCATTTGTATGCCTTCCTTGGAAAAATGTCAATGTAGTCTTTTGCTCATTTTTTGCTCATCATTTTAAATTGGGTTGTTTCTTTGCTACTGAGTTGTACTTGTTCTTTAAATGTTTGGATATTAACCCCTTATGAGATATTTGGTTTGCAAATATTTTCTTCAATTTTATAGGTTGCCTTGAATTATTTAAATGCTTTTTCTTTTTTGTACAGAAGGTTTTTAGTTTGATATAGTCCCACTTGTTCATTTTTGGCTTCGTTGTCTGTGCTTTAGATATCTTAGCCCATTTCAGTTTCTTATATAAGAATAGCTAAAACTGGGTAATTTACAAAGAAAAGAAATGTATTTCTTACAGTGATAGAAGTTGAGAAATCCAAGGTCAAGGGGGCCAGATTTGGTCAGGGTCCTCTTGCTTACGGGGACTCTGCAGAGTCTTGAGACAGCACAGGGCATCATACAGCAAGGTGGCTGAGTGCTGTAACATGCTAGCTCAGGTCCCTCTTCTTCA